ATGAATGACGGCAGACCTTTTTGCAGTCAAGCACATTATATGCATGTCCGTAATTCTTTTAGGTTTATTATAATTGCCCCCTTTGACCAAAATCCAGAATTCGTCCCTGCTTGGGGTACCTTTTATTTTATTTTTCCTAATACTATTTAATATTTACCGTGCACCATTTGTGCAGTCCATCATTAGAAATTTGAATTCACACAACTTTGGAGCATCTTAGAAAAAGGACATATTACTTGGAACTGCAGTAAAAACTTTTTCTTTGGACTTCCAGATAGCATGGCCTGGAGGTGATGGTAAAGGTGGAAATATTTTGAGGCGCTCATATATGCCTTGACCTGCTGCACGCTGGCAAGTGTATGCTTGTGTCAAAATTTCAGTGTTCAATATGAAGACCTAAACAAGAATAACACTCACCAGTAAGGCACCATAAACCCGCCATGCTTCATATCTCTTCATCTCATTCTTTTGCTTCTCTAATAGCAACTCTGGTTCAAGGAGTCGAAGATATGGCTCAAGATTTGGCAGAATAAGAAGACGAACCTACTCATGGAGTAAGATGTATCATGAATGAATAATATTACTAGAATTAGAATAGCAACAAAATGCTCAAAACTAAAACAGAAAATGCTTGAAAGTTAAATCTTGAAAAAAGGAGTTGAAAGACAGAATAGAAGCTTTGCATAAAAGGCACCAGCCACTTTTACGGGGAGATGTATATCACTCATATTATTCTCACCATGCAAAAAGTAAACTAACATGCACTAAGAGTAAATGAAATGTGAGGACATACCACATTCGGTCCTAGGGCTGCCAACCCTTGAATTGCACCATAGTGTTGAGTCAATGCCCGTTGTGGGTCCAGAAGTGCATTGAGTAAAGTTTTTGTAAGACGTGTCTGAAGGGTGTTATAAACATGGCCAAATCTGCAACAATTTTTAAAACCTAAATTCCAAGTATAAGATTGACCCAAAATAAAATAAGAAGAAAACTAAATGGAGTATTTGTATGGAAGTCGACAGCAGTGATCAGCATATCAGATAGAAAGATCATTAACATCAATTTGAATTATTTTAGATTATCTAACTGAGGTCGAGTCACATTTAATTCATATTTTAATAACATATATAAATGCACAGAACAACTAACCATCACGTGACATGTTTCTTAAGAGGATCACATTCAGTAGTTAAAGCAGAATATGAATTCTTTTTCTTTCACCAAAACTGAAGGGTTTTTTTATGACAATCTCAGAAGCAGAGTTGTGTCAACAGACCAGAGAATCAGGGCAATGTCCAATCCAATGAAATTTAGTGATTACCACCTTCGTAGACCTTATTGACACAATTGACAATGTTGAAAACTACATAATATAACTCCATTGCTCACATATTGCTATAGACAAGTTTTTTCACTGCAAAATTGACAGCATCACAGAAGGAAAAAAAATCCAACTCAAGACATTTTATTCAAATGCAATACAGGAAACACATTAGAAGTTTTACCTTTTGCATATTGAAGCAACTAACTTTGCAGTAAAATCTCTAAGTTCCCAGTGGTTGTCACCAATCCGGTTCCCTAGTTTTTTTGAAACAAGGCAGGTCACTACAGATGGCATCAATTGGTGCAGCTGGCAAGACAGAAAAACAATGTTCTTTCTTAGTTTAGAATTGGTAAATCCATGACAGGTAAAACTCCATATAGAACCACGAGTCCACAACAAGAGCATGATTTGCTTGGCAAACCAGTAGGTTGAAATTGAAGTTTGTTCAGTTGCATTAGAAAAGGATTGAACAATTTTAAATCCTTGATGAACATATTTCCTATCAATATATAAATCCAACAGGACAAAAGATTAACTTACATAAGGTTCTATGTGTATGTGGGGATTCTGGAGAAGACTCCAAACAACACGCATTAAAGCAAATAGAAGAGAATAATCATTCAAACCACGTGAAACCTGATATTGTTGGTGGAACAAACAAAGTTAGCAGCAAATGTATAAATGTCCTTGTTCATCTGAATCAATATTCTTGTTTTAAATCAAAAAATTGTTACCTCATCAGCTACAAAGAAAGTGAAATAAGGAACTAAAGGATGAAGTCCTGAATCTGTAGCCAAACTCACTAATGCTTCTTTAAACAGGGCTGAATCAGACTTTCTCAAAGTAAGCTCTGTGATTTTGTCAAAATAGAGCTGCAATAGAAAGAATGTTGGCCAAATAAATAAATAAATATTAAAAATATATAATACATAATATCAATGGTAAACTATGTACCTGAAGCTCCCTAGATAGCACATGCTTAACAGGTAATTTAATGTCAACCGGAAGTTCATCCTTTTGTTTGTAAGTATTGCCATTAGTAGGAGCAGCAATTACTACAGATAAAACAAATCAAACAAAGTATTAGCACCTGGATTTGGCTAGTACCCTGTATTATATTGGTCATGAGAAATTTTTCATAAAGTATGATCAAACAAATTAAAAGGAAAATTTCGGTATCCTAATACCAGAAACAACTACAGAAAATCATAGTTGCAACATACTGGAACCTTAAAAAATAGACAAAGATGACAAAATAATGCACATATGGAAAAAATGCTTGGCCTTTACAGCACATTAAGGTAAAAATAAACTCATATTTTGAATGATCTATGCTTAGAAACCAAAGATTCCAAAAGGTCCAGCTCAAATTTGTGATCAGTAACTACTGATAATGCCTCTAAATTTAGACAAACCTCCCACAGGAGCATTCTCTGGAATGGCAGGTTGTACTCCTTCGATAGCGAGCCAGTGACAAACAACTCTGGTATCAAGTGGTGCTTTTGGTAAAGGAGCCTCAATAACCTACATGTTGAGAGAAAAGACAACATGGAACTTCAACAAGTACCCAACCAATTTCAGCTCAAAGCAAAACTAATGTAGCCTCAGGTTTCTTACCTCTTTCAAATCCACATCCCTATCATCAATGTAAAACAAATCCCTATGCCCAATTGCCCTTTTGAACTGCAAAGGACCTCCAGATGTAAAGCCATATACGGGCTGAGGCAACAAAACAAGCAGAGTGAGACCAGAAGAAAACAATTTTTTTTCTGAAGTAGAATACCAAAGGAAGAAACCTTAAGTGCATCAGAAAAGTGTTTTATTCATCATCATCATATGCAAATCACTTATATTCTCAATCAATATTGAGATCATGTAACCTTTTCAAACAAAAAACCCGCCACTAGCAATTTATGCTTCAAGCCAGGCCCATACAGCTATTGAATACAGGTTAAAAATTTTCCCCTCGCAGCATTTTCTAACAATATCTTCAAAGTTAGAATATTCAAATTAGAGAGACGATTATTTCAAAACAATACATTTGTTTTTCTTGTTCGTGGTTTTACCTTAAAAACACATGCACCGCACACAATAAAACCAATGAAACTAAGATGAGCAAACAATGAAATTAAGACTAGTATATATACAAACTAAGAGTACATGAAGCTGTATTGATGCCAAATAACCTCAACGTTTCTTAAGTTAAGTGCACCATCAACATCGTCTGTAGTTAATATGGTCCTCCTCGAGTGACGCATACATTTGATGGCCTCCTGAAATTTTTCAAAAATTAAGGTAAAATAAAAAAAACCAAGAATCACAGTGACACACTGTTATTCACTTCAATTTTATAATTTTATGCTATCTTCTTATAATTAAGAAAAAAGGGCAGCATATATCACCCCCTAGTGAGGTTTAAAACCCTAATAGAAACAACAAAACATAAACGAAGAAATGAGAAGTAAAACCTACTTCATTAGGGAGAAGGAAGCATTAAAGGTTATTTTTATTTTTTTGGTTTGTAAAAGAAAAGAAACCTGCATAATCTCGCGCATGCGGTACTCGACATCGGGAGCAAGAGAAAGGGCAGCATCATCTGACAAATTGTTTATGCCAATGCTTTGAGCTATAACCTCGATCGTCTCCTTTGCCACTATGCTCATTTTCTTCTTCTTGTTCTTCTTCCTCGTCGTCGAATTTACAAAATTTTCATTTGAAGTTATCTTTTTCCGGTGTCTTGTTGTTCAGGGACTGATATGAGGAGAACTCTCACGCTCGCCGACCTTCGGGAATTTTGCATTAAAGAAACAAAAAGGGGGCGGGGGAGCAGTCGGGTTTAATTTATCGGGTGACCCGAATTGTTTCTACTGGGCTGCATCTTTTGCCTTTTGAATTTGGAGCTCCATAATGGGCTTTTCCCAAATCAGGTCCATTATATAGTAGAAAATTTTGAGATTCGAATTTTAACCTGGATAAAAAAAACGTTTGGGTAAACTATACTATTGGTCATTAAACTATTACAAATTTTCTACTTCAGTCACTGAACGTCTTTTTTACAAAAATATCACTAATGCTACATTTTCTATGTAGATCACGGGCCATTAAAAATTAATTGCTATGGTAATGTGAACTAACATAATAATAGTTTTAATCCTTAAGATTTACATATTTTGTCAATTAGGTACTAATTCAAAATAATTCATCACATATTTAAGCTAAAATCCAAATCTCTCATCCTATTTCTTTTTTCTCCATAACACTTATTTTTTCCCTCTTTTCACCTACTTATTCATGCAATTCAATTAGTCCTGAGAATACCCAGATTGATTGCCTAGAGCTTTTTCATTAGATCTCAAGAATTTTGGTTTTTGTTGTATAGGAAGATACAAATTTAAATGGCCAAAAATTATTATTTTAAAATTTTTGAAGATATAATAAGATCTTTATTTGTATAATTGACTGAGATATTATTATATCAGATTACATCATCGTCCCGTTAAATTTTGAAACAATCAATGACCAAAATAAAAAAAAAGTAACGTTAGTGATGATTTTGTAAAAACAAAAGGTTTGTAACTAAAGTAAAAGATAATAATAGATTAGTGACCAATTATGTATTTTTCTCAAAATATTTTAGGAACGAAAGCCTTCTCGAAACGCAGTGTTTTCGTCATCTCCCTCGTACTCGATAGCTAAGAACAAATCTGTGGAACTGATAAAACTCGGTTAAACCCACCCGTTTTCCTCACTCACAGATCAATTAAAAAAACATAAAAAATGCAAGTCTCTCTCCCCATTTCGCCCTCCAAAATCCCCTCAATTTTCCCATTCCACCACCCCATTTTCCCCCTTCAGCAACCCCAAAAGAACCTCACTTTCCAAACCCAAGCCAGCCCTTTCAACTCCCTCAAAACCGCCGGCTATTTGTCCTCCATAAGCCGTGCTATAGATGAAGAAGAAGAGTACCGAAAAGCCAGAGCTGCTGTTACGAGAAAGGGTATTGAAATTGAAGGCTACTTCATTGAAGGACTCTCTATTGGCGGACATGAAACCTGTGTCATAGTTCCTGAATTGAAGTCTGCTTTTGACATTGGGAGGTGCCCGTCTCGTGCTATTCAGCAGAATTTCGTTTTCATCACTCACGCACATCTTGACCACATTGTAAGTTCCATGATTTGGCCAAAAGATGGTGTTTTTTGCCATAGTTTGAAAATCATGTAGCTCAAAATTATAAGTTCTGGGTATTAGTATAATCTCATGTTGTTTACTGGCTCAGGGTGGGCTGCCAATGTATGTAGCTAGCCGTGGTTTGTACAACTTAAAGCCTCCGACAGTATTCGTACCTCCATGTATTAAAGAAGATGTAGAGAAGCTGTTGGATATTCACAGGACAATGGGAAATGTGGAACTCAACCTTGACTTGGTCGCACTTGATGTTGGTATGTTGGTTTCATCACAAATTTATTTGTTTTTTTCCCTTTAAGATGACTTTAGTAGGTTTTTTCAGGTGAAACCTATGAACTACGGAATGACATTGTTGTCCGACCATTTCGAACTCACCATGTTATTCCAAGCCAGGTATGTTTTACCAAATTTTATTCTGAATTTTATAAATTTTGCATAGAAAAGAACATAGACTAGAAATCTTAATGCCTTAACAAAATATGTGGTTCTTAATTTTCTGCCCTTGGTAAATTCATTATTGAGGTTTGAAGCGTAGATGAAGATCAATTTTTTATTTAAGTTGTTCAGATTTTGGATATTTTACAGTCTGAAGTATTGTTAGTTGTTTTTTTCTTTATTTTCTTCTTTCAGGGTTATGTCATATACTCTGTTAGGAAAAAGCTGAAGAAGCAGTATATTCATCTGAAAGGGAAACAGATTGAGAAATTGAAGAAGTCTGGTGTTGAGGTCTGTAATTTCGGTGAAATAGAGCAGCCGGATTCTTTAGTTTTAGGCATTTATTTGACTTAAAGCCTTCATTTGCAGATCACAGACATCGTATTGTCTCCAGAGGTGGCCTTTACAGGGGATACTACAGCAGAATACATGCTTGATCCACGAAATGCTGATGCCTTGAGGGCCAAAGTTCTTATAACTGAGGTATAGACCGAATAGAATCTTTTCAATCTTCTTTCCCTTGTTAGCTTCATGCTGAATAACTTTTTTGCATCATCTGTGGTAATATTGTCTATTTATGTTGCAACAAATAGTATAATCTGTGATCTAACTTAATGTTAAGGACAAAGCACAATTGGGTGACATGATGGGACATGTACAATGCCTCATGAAATCCATGATCAAGTACTGATAGGCTCCACTGTGCATGTGTGTCACATGCCAATAAGGCATGTCTTCTCTTTGCCTCTTGCAAGTTATAACAGGTGTGAGCTTAGCTGTAAACTTGCACAAGAGACTTGAACTATTATATTCCTGCACGTTGGGAATTATTTTCTTGTTTTGTTTGATATATAACTGCACAGAAATTATTTCATCAGTGCAAGCGAACTTCCATGACTATGGACCTTGTCCTTTCTAAAAGTGGAACTCAATCTGCCAAGTCATTAAGATTTCTAGTATTCGCACGATTTTCTGATTTCTGTTTTAGTTTATATGGAGCTTTTCTGTGATATTAGTGGTTCTTCTCTGGCCAAGAGATTTTTTAAAGTTGCAGCTGTTATGAAAAGAGTATATTTGACATGCTTAAGAAAAGGAAAAAGCCCTACTTATCTTTGCATTGATCAAATGTAAAAATCATTGCATGCAATTTCAATATTATATTTCTTTCCCTTTCGCACCATGGACCAACATTCACAACTTTCTGCAATTTGTAATCTTTACGTTGCTGATGTGGAAATATATTTTACAGGCAACATTCCTTGATGACGGTTATAGCGTTGATCATGCAAGACAACATGGCCATACTCATTTAATGGAGGTATGTTTGATCTTTGAGTATACGATTTTACTGTTACAACATCGTTAATGATTTTTAACATGATCTGATGTTAAATATCAGATCATTGAACATGCTGAGTGGATCAGGAATAAGGCTGTCTTGTTAACACATTTCTCTTCCCGCTATAGCGTGGAGGTAAACATTTAATCGAATTACTTGCCTTTGTTAATATATGCACGAGGAATACATCTGCAAGTCATATGATATTTCGTTCTATACGTGTTGCAGGACATTCGTCAAGCTGTTTTGAAGTTGCAGTCTAAAGTGTCTGCAAAGGTGGTTCCCCTAACTGAGGGTTTCAAATCAATGTACACACAGTAGTCTTGTCTGCAGATACAACAATTAGAGGATAGATGAAATGAGGAAAAATTGCCCATTTGTAATACATTATTTTATTTAAATCTATCCACGTTGTCTAGTGGTCTTGAATTTTTGTGGGTTTGTTTACGTTTAATTAGTGTAAGATACAATAAGTTCAATCACTTGGTTCATAATCAATATAATCATTGTGAAATACGATCTCCAGTGAGCTCGTTTATGCAACTACAAACAGAAGATCACATGAAAATTTCTGCCTACAGAATTTTCAGACAAACTTCAGCCATTACCAGCACATTGTTGTGAAATGAAGCTAGAGAAGCTGCTCTCCAAGTTTCTTGCTAGATCTTGTCTGCCAGATTTCTGGAGGTGCTTCAAAACATTCATATACACTGCAAAGTTTGGTTTTAGACCCTTTTCTATCATCTCCGAAAGCACGGGCTGTGCGATGACCGGTTCTCCCCTTTTTATATGAAGGTTCGCCAACAAACTATAAATCGTATTGCTTGCCGTCTTATACTTACCACTACTAACAACCACATACTGGTGTGCCTCCTGATACTGCTGTAATTTGAAGTAACCCTTGATAAAGGCAGCATGTGTCGTTTGCCGAGGTTCGATATCATCTGATTCCATTTTATCTAGCCACTCAAATGCAGTATCTAATTTACCATGGCTGCAGAAATGGCAAATGAATATCTCAAACGTTAATGCATCAGGAGGGCAGCCACTTTGGAGCATGAGTTCAAGCAGTTCATCAGCCACGGCAGTATCATTCTTGCGTAAACAACTGAGTAGATAATTAAAAATCTGGGAATTCGGGTGACAACCCATTTTGATCATCTCATCAAGCACGTTCCTTGCTTCTTCGAAATGACCTCTACGACACCGTCCTCAAACCAAAATACTGTAATTAGACAACCTTTTCTTTGTACTTGCAACCACATCCACATATTCAGCAATTTCAAAGGATCCTAGAGAGCATAACATCTCAATCAAAGCATGGGTACAAGAAACACCACATGACCCACCTATTCTATTCAACACTTCCGCATATGGAGTTATTCGTTGCAGCTTTACTAGAAATCATATCACGTAAAAAAAACAAAAGCCTTTTGATTCAGACAAATGCCATGTAACCTAAAGTCGTTTAAAAGATTAAACATTGAGTCAAAATCACCTAATATCCCACAATTGTTGATAACCAAACTAAAAATATCATAGTTATGATAAAACCGGGGATGGGATTGTCGAATCCAATCGAAGAAACGCAATGCAGGAACTTTCTGGTAATTTAAAGTTCGGAAAATGGTGTCCAATGATACCTCGGAAAGACTTACATTCATAGCATCCAACTTGGATTCTAAATCGTTATCGCGTCTTCTAATCAAATTGGTAACCTCCGAAATTTGATTTCGACTCGCATTTACCCTCGAAGAAGAGGCAGAGAAACTGCGAGCCCACTGAAAACCGGATGTATTGAAAAATCGAGAAGATGGGTATGGTGTAGAAGGAAATGAGGAAGACCCAGATGAGGAAATGGTGAAATGAGTTGAAGTATCCGAAGAAGGAACGGCGTGAAGTTGATGGGAACTGAGAATTGGGGTTTGGGGAGTGGAAGAGAGGGGAATGAGTGATTTTGAGGAAAGGGCAAAGAGATGATAAAAGAGAGTGCAGCGAGGATTGTGGAAGGGGCTGAGATTGAGATGTTTTCGGAAGAACTGATACATCTGCAGTCCCTTCAATCATAATTTCAGGGTTTTAGGGGAGGTGCCGGATAAGAAACCCTAAAGCTTTGTTAGTCTATTTCAATAGCAGTGAACTAGGATTTAATCTGATTTTTTTTACGATATAATTTGATGATTCATATACAGGAGATAACTTTTTAAAATGATTGTCTAATTTTAAAGTTGTTAAAATAAAATTATTTTTTAAAAGCTTAATTAAAATAAATAATAATTTAAAATGTGTCATTTTTATTTAAACATATAAAATATTTTAGACTTAATTATAAAAAAGACTTTATATTCCAATTGCATAATATAAAATAGATGATTAAGATTATCTTCTTCTTTTTTTCCATTGTATATCTTCTCATTTTCACTATTAGTCTTAGTAATCTATTTTCACTCATCCAACGATCTTAAATTTATGTAAAACTTTGTTAAAGTCGATTTCAACTTTGTCGACAACTTTAGTAATCACGATAACATTCACCCTATACCTAAATACTTTGTCATCTTGTCCTTAATGTAAGTCCCTCCTCTTCTTTCCTTCATTTCATTATTGTTTATGTTAGCTCCTAATCGTTATATCAGCTTATGATTTTATCATCGTGTCTTCGAGTTCACGTCCGGTGCCGGTCGAACTCAGAGAAGCATATCTGAAAGCCTAGCTAACCCTAGTGGCAGTGATATTCCAATGGATAGCACTTAACTCTCTCAATTTTCCTTTGCGGCATCAACCCTTTCACCAGAAAATTGAATTACAGCGCCTGTGTGGTTTTATAAAAAAATTGGCTGTAAATTAATGCTTTCTTGTTTTGTTAGAATTTCTAATGGGTTGTTAAATTTATTTAGGGTGGCCTGAACGTTAATGAATGAAGCGCGTTCCAAATTTCACGTCCGAAGATAATATAATACTCATTCCAGAAAGATGAATCAATAAACTGAGAGTTGGATAGCAAAATTTATGCTGAAAAGGAGAGTACTGAAAAAAGAATCGGATAGAATCAAAGAGTCTTCAAATGAGAGATTGGAGGTATATTATCAAAGGAGAGTCGAGAGGTGGATGTATAGATGAAAGAAGAAATCATAAATCCTGAAAAGTACCGAAAGTATGGTTATTAAAGTGAAACAAAATGTATCACTAATGTTAAAAGAAGTGAATTAAAAGATCAAAGCAATGAATGAATGAAAAGATAATATGTATGCTAAAGTGATGTTTTGCAATGTATTTTGTGTTTATATATTTTATATGATTGTTTTGTGTATTAATTGCCTCACTAAGCCTTCGAAGTTTCCTCTGTTTGTTATTATAATTGTAGGATGTTATGTTAGATAGATCAGTTTCAGATCATATTTTCAGAGGTCACAAGTAAATCTCTCACAAAGGTGTATAAAAAAATTATAAACACTTGAATTTGATGATCTTGCACTCAAAATCCAAACGTTCTTCTCTTTTTCAGCTTTTGAATGTGTTTAAAAAGTGATTTCAAAAGCACTTTCACATCTCCAAGGATAATATTTTATAGTAACTCTACTAGCACAGCAGAGCATCCATCATGAGAAGGATATCAACTCCAAGGAAGAAATAAAGGATCTTACAGCTTCTCACCTGCATTTATTTTCACCACAAAAACAAAAATTGCCTTCTGCCCCCCAGTATTTTGCACGTTTCATATACTCGGGGAAATATAACCTACAACACTGTCAGACCACACAAGTTAATGGGTGCAGGAGGTACATTATCATGGAAGTCTTCTTGGAAGGTTTCGAACTTACAAAACAAACTAGTTTAAAAAGGATAATAAAATGACACCGATGAAAACAGTTTCAGTCTTGTGAGGTTTTCGGAAAAGCCTGCAAAGAATGTGGTGGAGAAGCAACTTGTTCAGACGGATCATCTGAATTCTTTGTCTCCGAGTTCTGATGTTTCTTGCTTACGGCGTCGGTGTTCCGTTTCCAATCGGGAAGTCTTGATGGAAGAGGAGGTTCAGACAAATTGACTGTTGGTGACGTTCTTTGATATGTTAGGAGAGATGTATCAAACACTGATAAAGGAAGGCTTAGAGCATAGTTATAAGGATATCCCAAATAAGGATGATCAAATCTGCATCTTGGTCCGTACTTGCACATCCCATACATACTGTAGCTATAACAAACGGCTTGCCCCTACAATACAGAAGAACAAGAAGTAGACATTTAGAATTCATACCAAAGCATGTGGAAAATAGACATTAAGCTTACAGGTCTCGAAGGAAGCCCGAGGGGGCCAACACTATTAGCCGCTGAATTTGCAATCCTTTCCTTTGGATGATGGTACTTGCAATCAGATCCATATTTGCAACTGCCAGTGTTCATATAATACCTACATTCTGGTTGACCAGGTCTTTCAGGATAGTTAGAAGCAGATGTTGATGACAAAAGCATCTGTCCACTAGAACCTGACTCGGGGGGATTCGTTGAGTTGTAAGCAAAATTGGATCCAATAATATCAGGAGAAGATACAGGACTCATATTTCCCTGATTAGAGTTAAATTAGAAATTGAGAAAAATAAGCAAGAGCAACCTATAAACAAATTTACCCAGCAAAAGAAACATTCACTTACCATGTAGGTGCACCAGCCATTTGCAGGAATTATGTTTTGAGAAGGAGAAACAACAACAGGCACAAATGGTGCCCTAGGTAATGACCAGGTGGGTAATCCATCAGCATATGGCACACCTGGTGACAAAATCGATGATTGCACAGGTCCATTTACAGGTAAGCCAGTCCCGTGTGAAGCAGGCTGGGGATGATGGAACTTGCATGCCACCCCAAACTTACATGATCCAGTCCTCATGAAATAAGAACACGATTTTTCATCCTGATAAATAGAAAGCCAGAGTGAGATTACATAATGTCAAGAGAAAGCATCAAAGAAGAGAAAAAGAATGTACCTGACGCATAGGAAGACCAAGAATGTTAAATGTAACAGGTCCAGCTCCTTGTCTGTCCTTTGGATGGTGATATTTACATGTGGATCCATATTTGCAAGTCCCTGTCTTTAAAAAGTACTGCAGAGGAGGTCAATGAAAAATTCTAAATTAGAAGAGCACAATAGACATAATGTCAAAACAGTTTAGCACTAGATCAACCATATCAATGACGACCCTGAGCTACAACATCGCCAGTTTTCTTTAGGAGAGAAAAAAAAGGGTATGCATCAATTCACCAGGTTAAAAGGGAACATTAGCGCACTGATGAGATTAAGAAGACCATCCAAAATGAAAGCAGCAGCAAAATGATGACCAGCATAATCAGAGAACTCCATTTCGCCACATGTACATGAAATCATGCATGCTATATGTTCCACAGTTCAAGTGAATAATGGACCAAGCAAGCAATATTCATTTCTCAAAAACTTGTTTCTAATTAAGTAAATATCTATTCACCAAACCACATTAGTGCCTTTCCTTTTCTTAGCAAGAGTTATATATGAGCACAAAATAGCAAGCACAAACATCTCCTAGAAAAGGCAATTCAGTGATATTAAATGAGAAAGTATTAATACTCCACAGTCTGGCTGTCCATCTCTTTCAGGGAGTTCTTCCCGATATTGGCCATCCTGCACCAAAGAACAACATATTCAACCATTACATCGGCACCTGATATCGGTCAGTAAATGCGATTCACTTCAAAAGAATAATAAAGACTTCATTACCTGAGCATCATAAGCCGGATGATTGAATCGACAATTACTTCCATAACCACATGATCCAGTCCTTAAATAATAAGAACAATCCGGCTCGCCAGGACGGTCAGGATACGAGGCTGGTTTAGAAACACGCACCTCTTGATCATCATCATTAAATTTCAACTGCAAAATTGCTTCTGAAAACATAGAAACAAAAAGATCCCAAAATTAATTAAAATTAGAATCTCTCAATATAAATACACAATGTGTGTATGTGTAATCTGATTTTACCGAATAAGCCATCACATTTAAGAATTGAAATAACGAACTTCGAAACAAAAGCTATTACTGCTATAGTTTAAAACAAAAAAGAAGAACATAAAAAACATTTGTAGAAGCTACGACTAAACGGGCTTTCAAATTGAAATATACGAAGTTGCTTATTTTATTAACTGAATAGAAATTTACCCTTTTTCACAAGAATTTTAAAAACACTGATCATAATGGAAAATGATCACAAGAAAGGAATTCTAAAATATATAGAAATAACAGGGAAAAGTATGTGGTGGCATCAGATCTTTGTATGATTTGAAGTAACAAAGAGCGCACAAAGAATCGGCGCTACCTTCAACGTTATCAGCGGATTGATTCGATACAAAATTGTTCTGAACTTGCCGATTATCTGGCATCGGTGGATGCGGCACAGAATTTTGTGAAACCGTATCTTACTTTTGATCAAAACAATGAAAAAAACAAACAAACAATGAGGAACAAAAAATAATTTCTGGGCATAAACCAAACCAAGTTTGTATGCTTTTCCAAAAAAAAAGAGTTCGATTTGAAATCAAACGATGATGATGATGATCAAAAGAGTGAAATGAGAGAGAAATTTCAGGGGGAGGAGTTTCTTCTTGTGGAAACAAAGAAAGAGATCAAAAAGAAGCAGAAAATGAAATCCTAGAAAATATTCCAATTTGATTTTCTTTTAAATAAATGAAAATTATTTTTTCTTTTTTATTGTTGTAAATCTTGGATTTATTTTCTTTCAAGTAAGCTTTTGTGTTATGTCCTGGTGCATCAATATTCAATAATGTAATTTTATTTTAGTCAAAAGACATTATTGCCCACAAATTCAACTACTCTCTTTCAGTTATTGACCGACCGCAACAGGTTTTTCTTTTAATTTATACAATTACCTATGTTCAATGTGTGAAGAGATATAATTTAAATTTAATTCTAGTTGCACAAAAAATATTTTATTTTTGCTAATACTGAAACGAAACAACAGTTCTATTTGGTGTAGGTTTCCTCTTGTAGAACAAGGTTAATAAATTTTGTTGGGATCTTAGAATTGGCTCTCTCTCATATATAAGTCGTGGGACAATGTAACATGATGGTCCGCGACTGAGTTTACTTTCCTTCGAGCAAGTAGAAATCTATTTTTTTTTTTGCTCTCATTTCAATGTCATTTTTTTGTCTCAATAAATGTTGTTCTCGTTAAATATATGATAATCCATCCAGAAATCATAAATCCTCAAGATATGTTTATATATACACATGTTTTGTACTCATTCGTGCTGCTCTCTTCAAATTCAAAACCTCGTGTTTTTATTTAAAATTTTATTATTTTAACTAAAATCAGTTTGCATATTAATAATTAAAAATTTTAGTATTTCCAACATAATTAAAGACCAAATTGAATGTGTGCAGAACTATGAGGGCCTTAATGTCCTTTCACTTTTCAGTAGAAAGAGACAAATAAGCGTGAAAGTTACGGCAATAAAGGCTTTCTCTCTTTTTTCTTTTTACAATATATTTTCTTTAATTATTTTAAAATTAAATAAATATATAAATTCATCACCGTCAAAAGCGCGCGAACTTGGGAGGCGGCGATGAGGTCTGGAGCAGTGGATTTGAATCTACGATGGGAGTGGGACCCGATGTAAAGTTTTGTTCCAATGACGAAACTGCCTCTTACTGCCACAAGGTTCACCAAATAGTTGAAAAGGGATGTAACTGTCTTTCCATATTCAGTTATAACGTGGCGCTAAATAAATATCTACATTAATTATTTTATTTCAGCTTATTGTCCTTTAAACGGGTGGGGGGAAAAAACGTGACAAATCTTCACCGTTGGAGCCATAGCGCCATCTGGACAGGCCGTTGGATACAGAAGGAGCGGGACCCACTTCTCTGAGAGCGACAAAAAAAAGCAAACGAAGCTTTGTCTCATTCGCTAAGCTATGGCTTGTGGGTCCCAACAAAGAAGGGGGGAAAGGCTCCGACTAAAGTGGTTCAGCATTGTAGTCTGCACCCGCTTTCGTTGCGTTTCTCGGAAATTTTAATGTTAAAACAAATTTTAAACGAAAAATTGGGAAATATGGGAAAAAATAATTTTCTAAACAGTACAGGTAGAATTTTATTTATTTTTAATTAGGGTGATAAACATAGTATATGAAAAAACGGTCAGAGTACATGATATTTTTATACGAAAAACAATTAATTTATATCATGTTTTCATGAAGACATTCACTAGAAAAGAGCTACGCAAAGAAGAAAATGATTTTTCAAATTTAAAAGAAGAAGACATCATAGACTTTTATTATCTTTATATCTCACCGTTCATTTCACTCTATATGAAAAAAATAATAATTTCTCAAAAATATTATTTGGGAAATTATTTCTTCCATATTATTATTAGGGCAATTTTACCAGAAAAATTGGGATAATTAACTTTTTAATTGACAACTTAAGTTAAGCCCTTAATATTGTAAGATATATAAATAAGAGACTCAATTGTAATTGTGTAAAATTTAATATATAATTTAGTTAAGCATGCAAACTTTATTTAATATATAAATAAGAGATTTATGTATCGATTAAATTAGTCTTGTATATACCCTATTTTTAATTTGTTATGAAAATCATATTTATTCGATTTAATTGTTTGTGTTTTATGTTTTATTCATATTAATTATATATATATTTTAATAAAATTAAAAATATATAGTATTTGTTTGATATTAAAAATTTAGACTATTAAAAAGTAATAAAGATATTTAAATTTCATATAATAGAGACAAAAATTAAATTAAAATTAAAATATTATCGAAAGAGTCTTAATTGATCCATTTAAGTATAACAAATATCTACTTTAACGGACACATATAACATGTAACTTTAAGAGGACGAGCCTGTAAATCCTTTAAATTCTAATATATATACTTTATTTATAAGCCATGAAACTCCGATTTGATTTAAATGTTTTGTGAATTGTTTTGTTATTAAGTTTGTTTGGAAATTATTAAAAATTTCAATTTATATTATTGTATAGATTTCAGTATGTTTGGGCCAACTGCGATGCTATTTGGTTCTCGACCCACCCACATGGGCTTTGACTTCATAACGTCGTTTTTGTTTTCAAGAAACCCAGGTAGTTAAACACACACTGACAAATGTGATAAATATGAAAGATATATTTAAATTCCAAGAGAAAAAAAATTAGAGTATATCAAGTGAGATGAAGATAGATGTAAAATAAATAAAAATAAGATATCAACTGTTTATGTAATACCCAAATTTTGACTAGTAATTAAAATGTAAGTTTTGAAAGTTTAGGGGCTAAAGTATAAACTTTGAAAAGTTTAGGGACTGAAATTTGTATTTTTTAAAAGTTATATATTTTAGCTTGTAAATGATCAGTTTGGATTAAAACAGAGATTTTAGTGAGAATTAATTTTTTGATACGGGAATTGTGTTAAAAGTTATAAGAAGTAAAGTTCGGTATTGAAATCAGATAATCGGATCGAGCCGAAATTTTACGAAAATTGGAAGGATGTTAGAAAATGACAAATAAATAAAATATCGAAACATATATAAAATCATTAAAAATAAAGCAGATTGAATTTTCAGAATGTTCAAACCGGATATCTAATGTTGAACTTTATCATAAACCTAAAAAAAATCATCTGATGATTTTCACAAAATCATAATAAATCATATCAGACAGAATAGCCAGTCCATATTCTTTTGTAATCAGACACTTTTCAAAACTTTCTTATTTCATTTTTATAGCCCAAAGTATATTTTAAGAGACTAGGATAGTCTAGTAGTGTGGGTCACATCTCTAGGGTGTATCATCTCTGTCTTCTTTTTAATGCCTTTGTAGTAATTTCCATGACTTCTACTTTTTATTCGTTTCTGTTATTGGTATTTATGAAGGCTTAGAACTGGGCTTGCTATCGTTTAACTTCTGTGTATCATTATCTCCACTTTTAATTTTAGTCGGGTCTTACGTTTCTGTCTATATACAAAGATTTTTTCGCAGGGATTTTTTTACAGGGATTATTGCCCATTACAGACGCGCATATGATATTAATGATATTAATAACTGCATATGAAACTGTTCAACTATGTATTTTTATATTTATTTATACATGCATTGCATTTTATCTATATTTTTAATTTTCTGACTGCCGGAGGTCTTCCACGGAAGCTACTCTCAACCTGGCGTTGGGGGCAACCTACTACCCTACCTCCCCCTTACCCTATTGCATATGGGAATTGGGTTTTGTTGTTGTTGTTGTTGTTGTTGTATATTTTAAGAGAATATAAGGTACGTGAGTCATACGAGGGTGCGTAATAGATATATCATATCATCAGAGTCGAAACAGATAAGCACAAACAGTGCTATCGTATCGGAAATAACAATATGCACACAAATTGCATTCAGATCAGAATATATATATATACTAGTGTACACTTCGGTACACCACAATATATCATAATCAGAACAGATAATCGCTCCACCTCATGGCATCTCAATTGTACCTTTGACTCTCCATATAACATATAGTGGACTTTTTAGTTCATTTCGTAATCATTTGATAAAAATCATATCAGAATCAGAAATATATTTATTTCACATTCGTAAAATGTGACATGAGCAGTTCATACCCAAAATCAATCATAAAACTTATTAAAAATATTATGGATATAATTCCATAATCAAAACATAATTCATATCTTTGAAATAAATAAGGTGATGTTGACTTACCGCAAGTCGTCCTTAATCATAATAATTAAATAAATAAATTGCACTTACAATTCCCCCACTACAGAACTTGTATACAATAATTCTAATCACGAGCTTTGTCTTTTCCTTACAGATCGTTCGGATTGCTAATTTTATTGTAATCTTGAAACATAACTCACGGCTGGAAGAAGAAAGCATGAAGGAATTCTTGAATTTTATATGCATAAAATAACCTTTACACTTGCATTTAAAAGATTAAAAATGAATTAAAAATTCATTTATTGCAAAATGACCAAATTACCTTTAGTGAATCTTTTTATTTTCATCCATGCCATCCTTTTATCTCTTAATATTATTAAAACAGCTGTAAAAATTTTATCTCTCAATTTTTTTATTTTGACCCTTCAATTTTTTAAAATTTCACTTTAGTCACTAATTTTCACTGTTCGGACAAATCTGAAAAATTCCACTATTTTTAGCAAACTTTATCTGATATAAAATATGAAAAATAATATTTCCAATCATTTTCTAACATCCTTCCAATTTTCGTAAAATTTTGGATCGATCCGATTATCCGATTTCAATACCGAACTTTACTGCTTCTAGTTGTTAACACAATTCCTGTATCAAAAATATGATTCTTACTAAAATCTCTATTTTAATCCAATCTGTTCATTTACATGCTAAAATATATAACTTTTAAAATTACAAATTTCAGTCCCTATACTTTTCAAAGTTTATACTTTAGCCTCTAAACTTTCAAAACTTACATTTTAGTCACTGATCAAAATTTGGAGTATTACAGTTCACCTTTTTTTTTATAAAAAAAAATTACGTATATCTGTGTAAGATAAATAGTCTTTTTTTGTGTAACTTCGAATATGAAATAAGTTTTTATATCTTATTGGT